GTTCAATGTTGCACCTAGAAACACTGCTATTTAACAGAGCTACGCTTTACCCTAGATAAACAATTAAACCCAAGGTCTTAATTCTGATTTCATGCACATATCAATTTCAAAGAATGGAAACATCAGCAGAGCTGCAAAATACTGAAAACCTAGGAAACACCCATGAAATGGTAATTCAAGATTTAACACAAGAATCTAAGCCGCCTGCGATTGTTATTATCAATGAACTAACTTTAAGCAACATTAACTTAACAATGAAAAAATTATGTATAGGTAAAAACAGGTCTGATTTGAAAAATGAGTGATTTAATTATATGCATTTTACCATCAAGTTTTCAGACCTGTTTGTAGGCTTCTAAAATGAAACACACACATTTGGATATCTGAAAATGCAATTAGCAGTGTTAACAGAGCTTCAATCAATAGTGCCCAAGCAAGCCCACATACACAAAATTCCCACTTCCTCTGGGGCCTGCAGGGGGGGGATTTGGCTGTTCAAACTTGGTGGCTGTCTATAGACTTCCTTTTGGATTCTCAATTTTCTTTATGAGTTAGAATTTTTTTATCCTTAATTTCTTTCCAAATTCTTTTCTCCTTCTTTTTTGCTGCAGTAAAGAAGACAATGTACATGTCAGCAACAAAGAAGGTCTGATTCCAAGAGCAGTAAAAAAATCCTTTTTCCAGCTTAAAAAATAAACAAACCACATGCTACGTTTAAGTAACTCACATTATGGGTTGGTTTGTGAACTGCAAGTCTGGAAGCTTCTAAATTAAGATAATTATGAAGAAACCTGTTCACAAATTAGTTAAGCAAGCAGATGTAATATAATTGTATACAATATTTTCCTTAGTACTTCCAAACATGAATTCAGATAATATAAGCAGCAAAATGGTTACAGAACTAAGCTAAAACTTGACACAAGAGCATGTCTTGGCACCATCACAAGTTAACTTTATGGGCACTTTATGACTCAGGCCCTGGACACCACACATTTACACTGATGTCATCTACATTTGTGCACAGAACCAAAGTAAAATTACAGCAGGACCCAGGAAGGATGATCTATCCCGAGGGTACAGAATACAGTAGACCAGGGATGGCCAACCTGTGGCACACCTCTGTGTAGCCTCCATGGCTATGTCCAGATGAGCATGGACACTTTTTTCCCCAGGGACAAGAATCAGCAGCACACCTTGTGCCACTGCTACCTGTACCCAGGGAACACCTGTGCAACACACCTTCTGGCCCTCTGCAGGTTACCTCGGGTGGGCTAGGGGAGGCTGGGGCCAGCAACTGTGCTGGCCCCAGCAACCTTACCTGGAGTCCTGGGGGCCTCAAGGAGCTGCAGCCATGGTGATCCTGCTGCTTGAAGCCTGGCCAGCAGCCAGTGTGACTCTGACCAGACAGTCTCGTTTTGGGTGTGGCACACTGCCCCCACGTGTGCCATCCCGCTTTTTTCATGTGGGTTTTTTGACCCCGGGATCTCCTAGCATCAACCCTCCTCCCCTTGTTGCAGTGTGGAGAACACCTGAATGTGTGGTATGTGTGGCACTACATACTGCATAGCCGTGTTCATCTGGACCTGGCGTTATGTGTGGCAGATGGCAGATCAGGGAGGGGACAAGAAGCATGAAGGCAGATAGGGCAGAAAACAGAAAGCAAAGCAATGGAAGGGACAGGGAGCACAGGGAAGAAAGCAGGAAGCAAAGCAGCAAATCTAACAGGGGAAGGGGATGGAGTACCACTCAGGAAAGGTGCAGGGCTAAACTGTGGCATACCTCCCAAAAAGGTTGGCCCCCACTGCAGTAAACTATTTTTGCATCTTTCCACCAGGTGACAGAAGCAAGTAACAGCCCGCTTGCCTAAAACAAGTGGTTCTCTACCTTTTTAGACTCAAGGCACCTCTCAAAGAATGCCAGCTCTTAGCTTCCGCTCCTTTTGACTATGGAAAACAGACCAATTCTTTTGTTGCAAAAGAACTCAGAAAAACCACTACAGGACAAATTCCTTTTGGATCCCTATTATGTGTAGGCATTTGCACACCCAACAGCAATCGTATTGAGCATCGCCCCAGGATGCTGCAGCATCCTGGTTGAGAAACACTACCTTAAGCAAAAAAGATACGGTTCACACACATGACACTTAGCCTGATAATTTAACACTTATGTGCTTTTGCCTTTATTTTTCCTGGAGCATAAATCTAATAAATAAAGAAATAAATAGGATTCAAGTAAGCGATACCGGGGTAGATCTGTATATTGAGTGTCCATTCCTTTTTTTTATGCAACAGTATAAAAGGTTGAACACATCAGTGCAAAAACATGGGCCTTGTGCCAAGACCCCAGTTTCCCATCTGTGAAATAAGAGTCATAATGCACATTGTTTACTACTTTGTATGCTTAAGTATTTAGATTGCAAACTCTTTAGGATAGTGACTCTCTCTTATTATGCATACAGAGTACAATGAGACTTCCAGGCACTACGACAATACATAACCAAGATTTAAAAAATGCTGTTTATATGAAACACCGATACTTAAATAATAATTTCCTTAGGGATCTCCATAAATTATCTGGGTTTAAGCTTGAAAATGATGCCAAGGCATCTAACACAGCAACTGGAAACAATGTTTGCCTAAACCCCTATGCTCCCCACCCTCCAAAGAACACAGGATTGCTATCGTGCAGGGATGGAGACTCAACAACAATTCAGTCTCTACAACAAAGCATGCTAAACACCCAACATCTAATGTACTACTTAAGCCAACAGCGTAACTCCTGTCACCTCTTGCAGTAGCTGGGACTTTGCTGCAAAGGATAATGAACTGTGTTTATATTGATATGTTTTTGACAAAAGCTTTACTGGCACCACATGTGAAGTTCAGAAGTATCAAGGAAGACTCCAAAAAAAACCAAAATATGGAATAATTTGACAAGAAGTCAATAACAACAGAAAGAATACAGTAAGAGAATAGTAGCCAACTTGAATTGCAAAAACAACTGCAGTTCACTCTTCCCTGAAAGTAAAAAGGACAATGTGCTGAAGGAGGACTCAAAGTAACTCAAAGTAAAGGCTCTATCTTATTCTCAGTACCTTCAATTACAGCAAGATCAGGCTTTCACTCCAGAAGTCACAAACAAAAAGGTACAATTTTCAAAGGTACAACAGAAGTTTGACACCAAATAGTCACTGCTATCAATGTTGTTTCTGATGAAGTAGGTTTCTGAACCAGTCAGTCTCTCAGCCAGTGGTTCTCAACCTTTCTAAAATCAAGGCAGCTCTCAGAAAATGCCAGCTCTCCATTTTTGCTCCTTTTTGACTACAGAAAAAGAACAGAGTGATTCTGTTGAAAAGAACTCAGAAAGACCACGACAAATCAGAATCTTTGGGTTTATCTTGTGAATCATGTCTGCATCTAACAGTGCTAACGCTGTGCGGCACCTCCAAAGGGATGTCCAGGGTGCCCCAGAACCTTGGTTGAGAGTCACTCCTCCAAGGTGCCACAGTGACCTACCTTATGCCTGACTTTAAATATGCAAAATATAAAACGTGAACATTTAAAATGCTATTGATAATGTATTACTGCTAAGATGCCAGTGCAATTACCTGTCAAATGAAGCACAGCAATCTGAGCTATTTATACATTTTTATTTGAAATTTAAATCCCATTTCATCACCTGCATAATCAAACAGAAACAGATTACTAGATTGCAACATTCTCATTACTAGATTGCACGTACGGTTTGTCATTTGGCAACGAAGACAAATTTAGCATACCAAAGACTTACGAAAATCTACTGTTTTAATAACTATTTAAGTATGCAATGCAAAGGGAGTGGGATATTTTTCTATTTCAAAACCCTAACTCAAAGCCTTGTGGTAAAGAATGATGGGGTTACAATCTGTTTTTTGTACAAGCTAAACTTTTGCTCATATTCATTACTTAAGAATCCATTACTAGTTAGGAAAACATGAACTGAACACGAACCGAGAAGCCTGCCCAATTATCAAGAGAAAGGTCCACTGGAAATCAAACCAGCGTTGCAGTGACACTGCTGCCATCGTCTCACATGCTTTGGACAAGGACGGCTGGCAACAGTTCTGTGCTCAGGTGGAACAGGACTGCCTACCAAGAGGGAAACCCAGCGACTCCAGATTGCCAAGGTAACTCTTAACGGAATCTGAAAACGTACCTGAGAGTTTGTATTAAACAAGATAACTTACTAACAATCCCTTATGGCGCGCAAAGGAAACAGAAGAGAGTGCATAAAGCCGCCCAAACTGAAGTTATTCAGGTAAAGCCAGAGTTAGGCCTTCAGCATGCACAAACTTAGAAGTGTAACTGGAGGTACGCACATTACCAGGTCCAAGAGACCTAGCGAGTCACCCCTTCTGCCTAAGACTTGGCTCTAATGAAACTGCATTAGCACTGGGCTTTTACTGTAAAAAAGAAAACAAGATAAACAAACAAACAGAACCCCTATTAAAGAACCCTGCTCTGGCTTCCCGGCTCTATGGAGTACAGCCAGCCCGGGTCTCCCTCCCAATCTGCTCCCAGGGCTTTCTGCCAGAGGCAGGGTCATGCACTCAAAGCAAGAGGAGCGCTGTGGGGTGGGAAGGGGGAGACCGGAGGCGGAGCGCGCGTCTGCGCCGGGCCCGTTCTACCCGCCTGGACCCATTTCACAGACGGGGGCACTGAGGTCCCGAGAGCCTTAAGCGTCACGCTGCGGGGGGGGGGGGGGGGTGCGGCGGGGGGGGGGGCGGATTTCTATAGGGCATCCTGCCTCGGCTGCCCCTGCTCTCCCGCCTGCGCGGCTCCTTCCCTCAGCAAGGGAGGGGCCAGGCTTGCTGCAACCGTTCGGGGCGAAAGGACCGGGCGAAGCCCCGGGCCTCGCGGGGAGCGGCCAAAGCCCGGCCCGGCCTGGGCCCCTCCGCACGGCGGGCAGGCGGGGAATGGGGGAGTACTAGGCCGGGAGAGGTCACCCAGCCCCGCGCTCACCTCGCGCCCGGCTCCATCGCCGCCTCCAGCTCTCGCTCCGGCTCCTCCACAGGCGGCAGCCAGCGCCCCTCCCCCCGC